AAAAATTACACTCTATTCAGCACCTTAGTTCAAAAAGCTGCTTTGAACGTTTGATAAAGATTTAATCAAACAAGTGTACTGACTACAACAACGTGGTCCACCACATTAGCCTTCCTCTGTTTCATTAATACCATATTTGCTTGTCTAGTTCTTCTAACAACATCTTTTTCTAAAGCGCTCAAAGCCTCTTCGCTAACAGCACTGTCCAAGACATTTTGCAATGAATCTCCATTGACCTGTATTTGACGAGGTTGCTGTGCACTAGTATTTACTGGCGCAGCGTTTGAACTTGTACCTAAATCCCACTACTCAAATTAACAATAACTTTAATACTCAACTGACTTAAAGAAGACAATTACATACCAGCATTTGCCTGTAACATTCGTTCCCTTGCTTTTTTTGCGGAAGACCTTTTTTGGTTGTAAGCCTTACGCTGCTCCGGAGTCATACGCTGATATCTAAAAAAATCCCTCAGATGAAATAATTATCAAAAAAAGCCACTATCCACTACAGAACAACCTTACAATTAAGTCCGTATCAGTGCATTTTTTTATAATTTCCTACGGCTAATCAAAAACAAAAGACCTTAATCTTGCAGCCTCAGCTCTTTTAGCATTACGCATCATTATCTGCTGCGCTTTATTCAAAGCTTCAGCACTAATTCTCCCTGCAGGAGTAGAAAGTAATATCTCTTCTTGTATCCTACGACGACGGAATGCCTCTGTTCTGAAATTTTATCAAACATATTCCACAAAATAAATATCCAATGAAGAGCAGTAATTTGAAGTCGCAAAAAGAAAACGCTATTATAGAAGAACCTCCTCTGATTGTAGATTCGCTTCTCTTCTTCAGTCATTCTATGATAACGCAACCTCGCCGCCTCCGCTTTTTTAGCATTCTGCTCAAGAATCCGTTGTCTCACTTTCTCGTCATCCATAGCAGCTTTCTTCTGGCCTTGAATTTTGTAAAAACGATTAGCACCTATAGTAATTGGGGCACTCGCCTAAACATACGTGAAACTGATGACTCTAAAAAAAACCTTGTAATCCTAACTGTCGCATGCGACGTTTCTGATTATAAATGCGCCTCTCTTCAGAACTCATCCTTTGATACCTAAGACGCGCCGCCTCTGCTCTTCGGGCTCTAATCCGCTTCTCACGTAGCTGCTCGTTAATAGCGGGATCGTCGACAATATCCTTTGATTTCCGCAAAATTCCTTCTAACTCTTCAATCTGAACAGCACTTCATTATGCCTTGTTATCAGAATCAATTTTTGCAAATAAATCTGCTGCGTACTTCCTTATCGCGTTGTCGCTTTCTTTTCTGAGCCAAAGTCCGTTTCGCATTAATTTCTTTCTTTTCTTCCGGTGTCAATCTCTGATATCTCTGCCGAGCTGCCTCAGCCTGTTTCATCCTCTTCAGTTGTAGTGAATTGTCTGAGATCTCAGACCCAACCAGAGATGCACTATCAACACTATTTTGCTTCACCGAAGAGTCAAATCTAAAAAGTGGCAAATTTTTTGTGAATGTAAAATTCTAATTGGTAGAAACACACTTTTGATCACCATCCACCGTCACTTGTGCGTTATTATCTATTTGTATTTGTTGTAGGTCGTTGAGCATTCCAGATGTCGAAGCTTCTTGTTGATCCACGTAAACAGGTTCGTAAATCATTTGATGTTCCTGATCAGGCAAAACAGATGGAAGTGTCTAAAAACTCCAGTCACTTAAACAGTAATGGTTCCACTGAACATTTCACAAAAGCTAATATTTTATTTTAACCGTTTTCAAGATTAAATTAAAATTCAAAACAAATTGGGTGGGAAAATGAACCTACGTCATCTTACCTGTATGGGGGTTAACTGAACCATTTGCGTTATGCATGGCTTCTCAGCACAGTCAGACGGACTAGTAAAACAGGAAGAAACGCTGACAGGAATAATGCCAGAAGTAGTGCTGAGATGAACGCCTGCTGGAATAACAGTGATCTGAAAAGAAAGACTTTAGTAAAACGTAGCTAAGAAAGTCTAAGTTTCAACCACTTTTAAAATCTGTTAGGGAAACAACTAAACCAGTCAAAAACCTTACATAGTCCTTTCTTTCTTCAGTTGTCTGTGAAGGCAAATAAGTAGATGTTCCTTGAAAAGGTGAACCAGTTGTGGTGTAAAATGTCGGAGCTCCAGTAGATTGATACACAACCGACGTGGGGGTCGCGTCACTTGTGTTTAGAACTAAAAAAAAATACTGGACTGTAATAATTACATTTAAACCTAGTCCCTTGATTAGCGGCCTTGCGAACTAAAAAGTAACTAAAGCTTTTACAAAAAAAAAAACTAATTTGAAAAAGCATCCCATACATACAGCATACCTATCGAAGTTGAGTTTGGAGTGGAGAAAAATGCCTGCTGGCTCATTTTTGGATCTATATTAACTCTTACTCTTTGCTTCTCGCCAAAGCAGTTGCATATATAAGCATCAGCGCTTCCAGTCTCCACCCGCTCCCTTTATTTTTCTTCTAAAGCCAGACAAAATATTAATGAACCTGGAAAACTTGTGCAGATCATTATCATCCAGGGAAAAACCACAACAAGGAAACGCCAGTGACATATCCCTTCCCACGATTAACTCTAAGGCAAGCACTCTGGTATCACAACTTAAACAAGAACCATGGCTTCTGCATTCTCTCCACTAAGACTAATCTTGCAACTACAAAAGCGAACACACAAGTATAACACAAACGAAGAAAAACCAACCAAAAACCTACTTCTATTCCACGAGTTAGAACTGTTCCTCAGTCCAACAAACAATGAATGCAAAATTAAACAAACAATACCAAAGTAAAAAGAGCGTATATCACAAACGCGGTCGCAGCAAATAAATAATGCAAATAGAGATCGAATTTTTATTCAGACCGTAACCATATCGTACTGAAACATTTACAACTGTTACTAACAGATGTATCAAATACCTGTCTATAGCAACGACCATCCGAAAACCAAGTATAACAAATGAAAAGCAAGAAAACGAAAACTTTTCAAATGATAAACAATTTATTAGAAAGAACCAGCATATTCAATTTCTATAGAATTAAAACACAACGAATTCTGAGGTCAAAAAAAAAAATATACAAGCTATGTATACAGCAAAAGTTCTTCAAAAAATTCTCAACACAAAACAGTAGGCACTGGAAATTTTGGAATGACAAAAAGAGTAGGAAAATCAAATTTAGCTCGAAGTAAAAACTTGTAGCTTTTACTCCAGGCCAATTGCTCAACAACCCTAGCACAAAATAAACTACGAGTTCATTTCAATTCTTGCTTGCAATTAGAAACTAGATGAATACCACCTAAAGAGGAAAAACACTTAGTTGATATAAACACTGTACAACACAATAAGGAGATAAAAACAAAAAAATAAAACAATGCATCGGATGTCGCTAATCAAATGAAAGCGTGGCTTTGCTCAGACTCGTATCAAAAAATAAATCTTTTTTTTCTTAGCTGTCATCCAATGAAAAACTCCTAAATTTAAATTACTAGCAACGCGACCTTCATGCCCTCTGATAGCTGATCATTTGCTGTTGCAGATGTTGACCAACCATCATTTGACCATTCACTGGCGTATACTGAATTTGTTGTTGATGCGTTTGCTGCTGCTGCTGTTGTTGCGACTGAGACTGCGTCTGCATTTGTTGGGGATGCACATGAGCAACTTGGAACTTAAAAAATATTTATTTTTTAAATTAAAACTTGAAAAGCGCTAGAGATCAAAAACCTTTAAAATTCCATCAAAAATAGATATAAACAATAAACGGCAAACATCCCCTACCTGAACTTGTTGCGGAAGTTGAGCCATCTGTTGACCCTGGACCTGTTGGGTTTGTTGAGGTTGCTGAACCTGCTGTACTTGTTGGATCTGTTGCACCTGTTGAACTGATTGGACCTGAGGTTGTAATATAAGCGTACCCTGAGGCTGTGCAACAGCGCCAACAGTTCCAACTGTGCCTACTGTACCGACTGTCCCCACAGTACCAACAGTTCCAACGGTGCCAACAGTGCCTACAGTACCAACGGTACCTAAAGTCCCTACAGTCCCGCTAATTGGTGTTCCAATGTATGCAGTAGTTGCTGAAGTCGTTACTGCGTTATTTCGTTGCTGACGCATAAGTGCTTGTTGAGCCTTAAATAAACAACTTGCATTTGACCTTAGCTACATGCAACAGAATGAAATGAAAAACTAAAGCAAAAAACTACCTGTTGAGTACGTTTCAAAACATCACGTTCCAATGTCGTCAATGCATCGAATGAATCGTCTTGTGTACGACGGCGGCCTCTTCCACCTGCATTTTCCGTTCCTTCTGTCCCTTCGCGCTTTTTCTTCGGAGTATATCTTTTCTGATTGTACGCCTTGCGCTGCTCCGGAGTCATACGCTGATATCTACAAAGCCACCCAACTTGAAAAATGTTGATTTACGCAACAACGGTTCAGACTTGGCTCGAAAACTTTACCTTAATCGAGCGGCTTCAGCCCTTTTAGCGTTACGAACCACTATCTGTTGAGCACGGTCTAAAGCTTCTCCATTAATACGCCCAATTGGCATCGCAAGCAGCATTTCTTCTTCCATCCGCCGTCGTCGAAACGCCTCCGTCCTGCAAAATTTAGTGAAGAAAAGCACTATTTCGATCGCTTTTAGAAAAAAAACCAAAGACAAAAAAGATGATTACCTTCTCTGATTGTAAGCCCTTTTCTCCTCATCTGTCATCCTATGATACCTCAAACGTGCAGCCTCAGCTTTTTTCGCGTTCTGTTCTTTGATATGACGTCTGATAGCTTCTTCATCCTAAATAAAAGTCAAAAGTTATACGCCTAAACTTCCTTAGAAAACTACAGCATCAGATTTCAAACTTGATACCAACTTAACAGATAATTACTGGGATAACAATGAAAAATATAGCGACTGAATTGTATTGGTAGAAAGGCAGAAAAGGTTAATGCTTTACCGGTTGTCCATCCGGTCCTTTCAAGCCTTCAGCAGCTGCAATTTGACGCATCCTGCGGCGATTATTGTGTTGGCGACGTTCCTCAGACGTCATTCTTTGGTATCTTGTACGTGCTGCCTCAGCCCATCTCGCCCGCATACGCTTTTCACGTAATTGTTCCGTTATATCTGGATCCTGTAACAAAGTCTAACGATGAAAAAAAAAATTAGGTCAAAAAAAAAGTGAAAAATCACATCTGAACCACAAGTTTTGGATACCGCTTAACCCACTGACAACTAGTTCCTCCATCACTTAGCCACTCTCTACAAGCCATCATTGGTAAAACTGTAACACATGTTACGATGTCCTAAACTGCTTTTTCTAAAATCTTCGTCTACTTGCCTCAAAATCAATACTGATAAATTTAAAACCGAAGCAGTATTACTAACTGAACAGCGATTATAATTCGGCAAACCTACAGCATACTTTATCTTACCGATTACTAAATAATCTGAATGGCCGAACTATCCAAGAACAAAGCTATGCCTAACGCAAGATATTTGTTAAACTAATTGCACTAAAGTGCACTACTTCCAAATTAAATCTTACACCGAAATAAAGTGCCTTTTCTCCGTTCAAACATATTTTGAGGCACAGAACGTTTAACCTTCCAATCTGAGCTAATAAATAAAGGAAACCTCTTGAATATCATTAGTTTGACGTAAAAGCTCCTCCAGTTCTTCCATCTCCTTTTCCCGCTGACGTTTACGTTTCTGCGCTAGTGTCCTTTTAACGTTTAATTCACGTTTTTCTTCCGCACTTAACCGGTGATATCGAAGACGTGCTGCTTCTGCCTGCTTCGCTCGTTTCGCCTCATCTTTAGCTGTTTTGTCAGGAGCAGTTTTTGTTTTACTTGTGAATCTAGAAAAGACGTAAAAAAATAAGATAAATCAGCAGACTTATTGTGAGAAGGTACCGACGCTAAAGAAAAAAACCAACTTTGCTACAATAGCTGCTGGAGAAGGCAAAGGATTTGCCGTAATAGCTACTGCTGTAGTTGATAGAGGGGTAATAGCAGATGTACTAGGCGCTGGCTGCTCAACAAAATAAGAGTCAAGCGTCGTGACACGTCTTTGATCATCAGCTTCCCCCTGAGTCTGAGGTTGAAAAAGTTGCATGGTCGCTCCGTTCGGATTCTGAGCCGTTACAACTGTATTCACTGTATTTAAAGCTAAAATGCAATTGAAATGAACCAACTTGAGACAAAACTACCATATCAGAGTAGCTCAACTTATAGCAGGTTTGAAATCATTATTCAGTGCGATACAGTGCACCAAAGATCCTTTAAGGTTGACCAATTTTTCACACTTTATCAAATTAAGTCACACCTGTCAGTACAGTAGCGCCTTGCTGGCCAGTAGTGACTGGCGTTGATATTGTCGGGTTTACTGCCTGAACAATACGCATTTGTTGTGGTTGTTGACCACCAACGGTTGAAGTCGGCTGAAGT